ATAAGGTCGTGGCCGTGAGTTTTCCTTCTCGAGGACAAGAAGGTAAACCCCCTAGGTATCCTTTGTTGCCTCGATGCTCGCGATGGCCTTAAGTTTCTCAATTGTGGGCGCGGCCTTCCGGTGAGACGCGTGGCCTGCGAGACGTTGTTGCAAAAGATGTGGTACCGTGAGTGACTTGGGAAGATGCCACGCGGAACACGGCATCATGTCGGTCTATTCTACAGCCAAAGCTAGTCGCGCGTCGTCCCCGCCCGTGCCGAACCAGACTCACAGGCCTTCGCTCTCGGAAGAGGTTCGGGAGAGTTGCTAGTACGAAGAGGAAGATACAAAATTGTGTGGAGGTACACAACTGGAAATATTACTAGACTCGTAATTAGAATCACCCACGGTAATGGATATGTACATGTAGCTGGCACGTATAGGGGGTAGGAAGGAAGACAAAGAGAGAGAAAGAAAGAAAGAAAGGAAGAAGGCAAGAAATGGAAATGGGACGAAAGCACGCGTAGCCATAACGGCGTCTAGCCGCTCAGGGAGGTGGGAGAGTGGGCTTGGAGAAATCATGGTGATGTTGGTTGATGCATCCGATCCAGGTGACGGGCATGATGGGGCGCCAAGACATCGGGTGTGTTGGAAGGGTGATGGGCGTGAGTGTCGAGCGTCAATTGCAGCTGGGGACGTAGGTTTGCACTGGTGTTATGTAGGGAGTTCTGACGCTCTGCAGGGGACTGTGGGATTGACTTTAACCTGATACATTTCGTTGAAGCTGTTTCGTCGATGAATCCGACAGTTTGGCACATTTTGGTTGTCGTCATGTTTTCAAGGTTGAGTTCGATCATGGGCCGGGATGACGCAAGAGTGATGGTTGGAATTCTTGTGTAACGGTCGATGTAAGCTGTATATCGTAAGGTAATATTCGTACATTACACACTTGTCAATCAGTGCGGGGCGCTCAGTCAACTCGTGTTGTTTTCCCATGCACACGCACAGCCTCGTCAAAGGAGCGACAAAGAGCGCCAACTCAAACCCGCCCTGGTTGCCGCGGGAGGTTAGGAAACCGGAGCTTGAACCAGAGCGCAACCTTCGAGCCCATCGCGGCAAACACCCCAACCTCGAATCGTTCCCACGTGGCCCGAGGCCCGTCCCGAGACTCCCGACTCCCGAGACACCACAAACCGCAGCCGAAGTCGAGGGCCCCGAACCCCGCTTGCCCTTGCATTCCTGCAACAGCACCTCATACAGATTCTGTAAGGTACCTACATATTTGGGTTGCTCCGCGGCACGAGCCGCATACCTACTTGTAACCGGGTACTGGACCCCGACGGCGGCCCGGCCCACCTCAATTGATCGTCGTCACCAGGGACAGGGTCCACACAACTTCCCTCCCCACTCACGCGACAGCAACCAACAACATCCAGTGACAAACGCACACCACAACCTACATTAAACGCCGACATTCACAACCCAACAAAACCCCCAAGATGGCCATCGAAGGAGGAACCCCGCAAACCACCAAGCCAGTGCCCACCAAGAACAACGTTCACAGCAGCCGCCGCCGTGGCCCAGCCACCAACCCCCCTTCGACAGCAACCACCAACACCACCAACCCCACCGCCCCAAACAACAACAACGCACAAGAACAACACGAACCCCTTCCACAGCAACAACAGCACCACCCAAACCAAAACCAACACCACCAGCAGCAACAACACGTCCGCCACCGCCAAAACCGCGTCGGCAAACGCTACCGCGACAAGCTGACCGCGGGCTTCGAGAGCCTGCAAGCCGCGCTGGGAGTCGAGGACGGGGACGGGTTGGATGGCGCCGGCACCGAAAGCAGAGAGGATGGTGCTACGACGACGAACACGGCACGGGGCGGCGGCGGGGCGGGGACGGGGGCGGGGAGACGGCGGCGTCGGCCGCTGAACAAGGCTAGGATCATTGATTTGACGTGCGTGCGGGTGAGGGAGTTGCTGGGGGAGTGGGACGCGGTTAGGGCGGAGGTGGAGGGGTTGAGGAGGGAGAGGGCTTTGTTGGGGTGGTGAGGGATTGGGGGGGGGGGGTTTGGGTTGGGTGTTGAGTGTGGAGTCATGGTGGTGCGGTGTCGGGAGAGTTGGTGGGTATCATGGGGAGGGGAAGGGGTTGCGGGCTTTGGCTTTTTGTGTGGGTTGGTCTCGATACGGACGGGACGACGGGTGTTGATGAGAGTGTTTCCAGATATATCTCTGTGTACTGTGTATACTGCGGCTTGTGTTGCGCTCGGCCCAGCTCACCCTGGGTTTGATCTCGGTGATAGGTCCACAACTATCTGTGCCAACGACCTGGTCCTGCTCGATAAGTTTCTGGAACCAACAACAGGTCCGTTTTGGGGACGGCGGCAGCAGAGGTGCCGGGATAGGTGTGTTAGGCAATGCAGCTTGTCTTTGCCGCCTTTGAGAAGTTGGGCCCCTCGGGCCCTTGGCGACAACACTCCTTCGACCCGACACTCTGGATCCGATGAGACACACTGTCAAACGTGCCCCCACAAACGGAACGTGGTGCGCTCCGCTGGGAGGGAAGGCTGACGAGTCTGACAGATTAGCCAAGCTTCCTTGCCGTCTAGGGTCGTATTCAGAGGTCGCATGCGGCCAAGTTCCGCTTAGCGCACGCCAGAACCGCGCGTCCGTTGCCACATTTGCTTCGATCTTGTTGGCCAGGGGAATTACGCATCTTGACGTATTTGGCTCTGCAGGGCTGATCACTTCCCTCGCTGTTGGAAAAAGCTGCATCGCCGAAGGATGCCGGATTTCCCGGTCAGACACAGATAATATATTAGCCATGTCCCGCGCGTGATGGTGTCGATGCACCCTTGCACTCCACACCAGCGACGGCAGCCACCATGCTCGCCCGGGTTGTTGGATTCTGGTGGCAACGAGCCCAGTACTCGCCCCTGAATGGCAGCCCAGCCACCGCCGACGGCGGCCCGGCGTCGTCACCCCCGCCGAAATCCTGGCCCGGTCTGACGGCTCTGTTGTCATCGCGAAGAATACGCCTCTTGGCACCGGTTGTGCTGATTATCTGTGTCTTCGCCTTTTTCAACCATCGCTACGACACGCTTTCCAGCCTCCCGACAGAGTGGGGAAAGGAGGACACCCCGGCGTCATAAGCAGGACTACTAACAGAGCCGCCGGCACCTGCGCCGATCTGGGACCCAAAGACTGGCGCGCCGGCAGACAATGGCGCAGTCGACTGGTCGCGGTTTGCCTACACGCAGTACGTGACCGACAGCCACTACCTGTGCAACTCGGTCATGCTGTTCGAGCGGCTGCACCATCTCGGGAGCCGCGCCGATCGAGTCATGATGTATCCGAAGCACATGTTCAACCCGAACTCGGCGGCGGCGGTGGCAAACGGCCGCAACAGCGACGATGCGCGGCTACTGATCAAGGCGCGCGACGAGTACGGCGTTAAGCTGGTTCCTATCCAGGTACAGTATCGGGAGGGCCTGGAGGGTACGTCCCCTGATCATAGTCCGATGTTGTACGTAGTATGTCAATGCTGACAACAGGCTGTAGAAACATAGGCCGACTCCTTCACCAAACTCCTCGCTTTCAACCAAACCCAATACACCCGCGTGCTCTCGCTCGACTCAGACTCGGTAGTACTCCAGAGCATGGACGAACTTTTCCTCCTCCCACCTTGCCCCGTAGCAAGGCCGCGGGCGTACTGGCTCCACCCCGAGAACAAGATCCTCTCCTCGCAGGTGATGCTCGTCAGCCCAGCGCGGGCGAGTTCGCGCGGGTGATGGCGCGGGTCGCAGCGGCAGGGGCTAACGACTACGACGTGGAGATCGTCAACTACCTGTACGGGGACACGGCGCTGGTGCTGCCGCACCGGCCGTACGACATGATCTCGGGCGAGTTCCGCGAGCCGCCCGACAAGCACGCCCGCTACCTCGGCAGCGCCGACGAGCGGTGGGACCCTGTCGCCGCGTTCAACGAGGTCAAGTTTGTGCACTTTTTGGATTGGCCTGTGCCGAAGCCGTGGATGGATATTGAGAAGACGAGGTGGGATAAGCAGCCTGAGTGTTTTGTGCGGGAGGATGGGGTGGCTAGCTGTGAGGAGAGGGAGATATGGAATACGCTTTATGACGAGTTCAGGGAGAGGCGGAAGGTTAGTAACAGAAGTGGTTCTATTTCTCCCGAGTCCATCCACCATCCACCCGTTCATTTGCTAACTGTCACGGTGTTGCAGCGGGTGTGCACGCATGTCCCGGGAGAGCACTTGCGGCGGCGGGAACGGGGTTAATGATCGACATGATCAGCACGGCTTGCATTATTTTTGTACGAGTAAATGAAATGATGGTGGCGGTGATCTCTAGGTTTTGGGTAGATCTTGGATTTGTTTGAAGATGGCGTTGTACAGGCATGGTCGGCGTTTTTCGAGGTTTCATTTTGGAGGGGCTTCGGGATCCTAACGCAGTGAACTAGGTAGGTTGCCACTTCATCTAGGTTCGGGGACGGCGTTGCCAACAGCTCCGTCTTACGCAGTTCTCGTATTCGAAATGCGGGAGAGTCGCATCTCACTCCAAAAGGGGAAATGGCCCGGGGGTCGAGAAAGAATAACAAATGGACTCGTTCGATTTGGAACAATCTGTTTGAGACTGCGGCTCCTTCCCGCAATCTGGCTGAATCGAACGCGAATTGCTGTTGTTGTTATTGTTGTTTAAACTTAAAGTCCGGGGGCACAGCCGCGTTGCGGCCGTACCAGATCTAAAGTATATAGGGATGGGCTGAACTACTAGCAGGTCTAATATATATGAGTACCGCGTATATAGGTAACCACTCTCGTACTACGCGCTTCTTCGAGACCGTTACGCGACCTACTTTGCTATCGCCTCCGCCTCCCTTTACGTAGGTAAGTGTATAATAGTATCGATTAAGGGGTTATGGTATGTACACGGTACTAATAGGGGGTGCTAAGAGAAAAACTTTTCAGCAGAAGATAAAAAGAATAACTTGCTTCGGCGTGGGCCTGAATCGAACAGACGTAAAGAGATTGTTAGTCTCGCGCATTAACCATTCTGCCACCACACCTTGAGAACACAAATTGCATGACACCCAACTGTGCTGCTCCTGCCCCTGTTTCTTCCCCAGACCCACCGACCTGTTTTTACCGCCATTGACGGGCATTGACAGGCCTGGTTAAGCTTTTTTATCACGACAGTGGTGGATAACTCTATTTTAACCACATCGATCGAGTACCTACCTAGGTATGGAGATCGACCGACACTTTCAGTCGCGGGAGCGCGAGTGATTTCGACAAGGAACCATTGCCAGGACCTGGTTAGGTAGCAATGGCGGGTTTAAACGAGCTGTCGCACAACATGAGCCAATCCAGAGAATACCTATTCAAGTTATTGCCGCCGAGGGCACGCTTAACGATGCTCATGCAGTCGCTGCATTAGGACAGAAGCACAAAAGATGAAAAGGCAGATCTTCCGGCGATTGGCCAAGCTGACTGATGTTGGCCAAGCATGACCCTGGGAAAGGAATGGAGGCTTCGGGTTTTGCTGGCCATCTCGGGACCGTGGTTGACTCGTTGACCGCTCAACCAAATCTCACGGCTGGACAGCTCCTGGACTGTCGATCCACCTCCTTTCTTCTTCCCACAGACGCATCATCGGCCCAGGGTCCGAGACAGGTTGATTCCGAGGCCCGAAGTGGCGCTCACGAGCTGATAAACCCTCTTAGCAAACACTGTAACTATCCCTATTGTTTATGGGTATGTGCATGATGCAACGCAGCTTGCCTCTAGCGCTATCGGCTGCCGGCTTTGACAGCGCAGGCGCTTGCCTGAGGGCGATCCTCAACCACAGACCGCCCAAGTATGGACAGGCTACATGGCATCACACGTCACTGTCAGCCACGCGGACGTCAAACACGCCGCAGCCCGGAAGTTATGCTTGGGGAAGTCCCGGCGTCGGCCAACTTGATACCCGACCGCCGCGGGAGCAAACTCGAACCTGGGATAAAAGGACGGCCTGCCCGATGTTGGTGGTGACCCTCCCTGATTCCCCATCTCATCATCGCATACCAACCAGAGCAATTTAATCTCTTACGCTCGTACACTCCTTAACATGCGTTTCATCAACTCCCTCACCCTTCTCTCCCTGGCAGGTCTGGGCCTCGCCTCGCCGATTGCCGGCGCAACAGACGGTCTTACCGGCGGAACGGGGGGCCTCACCGGCGGGACGGACGGCGCCACCAACGGAACTGACGGCCGGAGCGGCGGCTCCGGCTCCACCGACGCCCTGAGTGGCATCCTGTCGGGCGGCGGCCTTGGCCTGCGTGACGACCAACACAAGCGGTACTCCGGTCAGGGCGCCCGCCGCCGCCAGGAAGAGGATATAGCAGGCTCTGGAGATGTAGCAGCCACTGAAAACGGGGTCCTTCTCCGTACGCGCGGAGAGGCCGAGCACGACAGCGGTGAGCACGGTGATGAGCACGGTGAAGGGCAGGACCATGGCAACAGCCAGGGTAAGGGCAACACCGAGGGGAAGGGGAAGGGCGAAGGGAAGGGTAAAGGCGAAGGAAAGGGTAAGGGTGAAGGTGAGGCAAAGTCCAAACCTAAGCCCAAGGGCAAAGGTCATGGCGAGGGTAACGAGTCCAAATCCAAGGACCAGCCCAAGGGCGGCCACGAGGACAAAAGCAAAGGCTCCGATGCGGGGAAGGGAAAGGGCAAAGGAAAGTGCAACGAGGCGCGGCACACGCCCTGCCTACACCCTGACGACGTCGATGTCTTGGTGGATGCCTACGTGCGCATGCTTTCGCATTGGAACGACACCGACGCCAAGTACCTCGCTGAGAACTTTCGCGACACCTCGGACAGCATCAACATCTTCGCCGGAATCCCGCTCGGCAGCCCAACGTTCCCGACGAAACAAGCATTCATTGACCACCAACACACTGAGGTATTCCCACCCCAACCCCCTCGTCCAAATTAAATCGCCAAACTAACACTGCGCAGCCTGACAACCTCCCGCTGGAGATCACGCACAAGTCGCCCTACTCGTGTGACGAGATCGCCCTGATCTGGCAGGCCACCTTCGGCGAGGCCCAGAAGCAGGTGCGCGGCCTAACCATCCTCGGCGCCACCAAGGACGAGGGCTTCTGGCAGATCAGCACCATCGACGTCGAGTTCAACAGCATTGCCTACCTGCTCGATATTGGCGGCAACTACACCATGCCGTAGGCGGAAGGGGGAGGTGGGGTGTAATACGGGGTTGTTTTACAGAAGGATAGATACAAAAGCTTTGGTGGCGTGGAGGCCGAGACGAGTAGGCTACAAGTGCTATGTAATCGCTAATTTCTATCGTGCCGAGTATAAATTAGGTACCTAGTTGTCGCTTCAATGAACTTGTATAGCCCGGGCTGATTACCTAGGTACTTTTACCAGTTAATGTTAATTAGTTGTAAATATATAACCACACCCGGAGCATGTGCCTCGTCGGGTTCCATGGCCACACACAGTCTACGGCTGGATATCGCATTCATGACGTCAACTTGGGATGTTACGTGTGGGTTACATGTCCCAGGTCTTTAACCACATTGGAACGCCAAGTCCAATAGAACGTGCAGGCTGCCTCTACCGCCACAGCACACACATCCATCCCACAATGCCAAACACGGCTAGCCATGCCTAGCCATCCATGGCTGCATGTTCAGCTGAACCCGAAGTGTGTCTATTCGTCTTGGCGGCGAGGCTGTACCCAACTTCCCAAGTTCCCTCTCTTTAAATTCGGGCGGTCCCCAAGTGAACTTGTGAAGTGTTCACTCGTCCTTAACACAAACAAGAGCCGGGGACAAGCAACCATGGGAAAGCCACAAAAGACTGGAAATTATGCGCCCTTTTGTTACAGCGCGGCACAGTTGAGCGCGCCCGAAACCCAGTTCCGTCTACTAGAACTTCTGCCGTCCACCACCGACCATGAGCTCTCGTGCCGCATTCTCGTGAGCCAAGTTGGCCAGCCATCGCGGCAATTCAAGGCACTCTCATACACCTGGGGCAAGGGCGCCATGTCACATTCCATTGCCGTGCTCCCTGGGACCACCCAAGGCAAACGAAGAGCCTTGGCCATCACGGAATCTTTACACACCGCCCTGACCCATCTCCGCCATGCCCGCAAGTCGGTTTGGTTGTGGATCGACCAGATATGCATCAACCAAAAGGACCACGTCGAAAAGGGAAACCAAGTCAGCCTCATGGGTTCTATCTATGCCGGGGCCGAGCAGGTGGTGGTATGGCTGGGTCCGGCAGCCGACGGCTCAGACGCCTTGATGGAGGCCTGGCTGAGCGTTGGCCAGGCCGCTCGAGATTTTGGCTTGGAGAGCTACTACACCGCGGAGCGATGGCCTCTCTTGTCTAATATCCTGAACAACGAGGAACCCACCGACCCCAAGACAGTCGGGTTCCAAACATTGTTGAGAATAGGGGGTGAGACGTTCGCTCCCCTCATCAAGAAGGAGATCCTCAGACACTGGTTTGCGCGGGAATGGTTTAGACGAGCGTGGACCATCCAGGAGTTCTGTCTCTGCGCCAACACGGTCTTCGTCTGCGGGACCAAGACCGTCCAGGCCGAGCTCGTCATGATCGCCATCCAGATCCTGACGTTCTCAATCTCGCGCCTGTACGAGACCATCTACACCCCCGCCGGCATCCCACTCCCACTCATAGACGAGCTCTCCGAAGAACCAACAGGCCGTCTTTTCAGCTGCCGCCAGCGCCGGCGCAAGTTCGACCGCGGCCTGCCCGACGCCACCGGCGACCAACTGCACGCACTCATGCGCAAGCTCTACGTCGACCACAACACCGAAGCCACCCTCCACCGCGACCGCATCTTCTCGCTCCTCAGCCTCGCCGTCGACGCACCCCACCTCGCCCTCACCCCGGACTACACCAACCCATACGACCCCGCCACAGACGCCCGCATCCTCGCCCTCGCCGCGCGCGCCATGCTCACCAACCCGGCCACCGGCACCCTCACCATCCTCAGCTACGCCCAACCCCTCCCCTCAACCACCACCCCCTCCCCACTCTCCCCACTATACGCCCACCTCCCCACCTGGGCCCCCTCCTGGCGCGGCAACCTCCGCCCCTCCTTCTACCACGTGCACTCCCACCTCACCGCGCACCTCTTCTCCGCGTGCGGGCACGCCCATCTACAAGTCCACCCCTGCCCGCTGCCGACGGCGCAAGCCGCGGCCAACCCAAACGTGCTCGGCCTGTCCGGGTTCCGCGTAGATGTCATCTCGGCGGTGGCGCCCGGCGCGGCGTGGACGGATATGTCGTGGGATGCGGGGCGGTTTCGCGGGTTTTTTGAGCAGGTGGATGGGTTGTTTGAGAGGGGGATGGCGGAGCATGGGGAGGTAGTGCCGGCCATGTATGGGGGGAGTGGGGAGCGGTGGGGGGAGGCGAGGTGGCGGGTGCCGGTGGGGGGGCTGTTTTGGACGGCGGCGGAGAGTATGCAGCGGGCGGTGGGGGATGTGGTGGTGGGGGAGTATCGGCGGTGTGTGGAGACGGTGAGGCTTTTTGAGGAGTGTGAGAGGGTTGGGCCGGAGGAGCAGAGGAAGAGGTTTGAGGCGTGGGATTGGGATGGCAAGAGCAAGAGGGGGGAGCTGGGGGGGAGTATCGCGAGAGTATGAAGTATATGATGGGGAAGCGGCCGTTTTTGACGGCGGAGGGGTACCTTGGGATGGGCCCGGAGGGAGTGCAGGCGGGAGATGTGGTGGTGGTGTTTTGTGGGGGGAGGATTCCGTTCGTGTTGAGGCCGACCAAGTCCGAGTTGGTGGTCGGCCAGCGGAAGATAAAGTTGTTTGAGTTCGTGGGGGAGGCGTACTGTGACGGGGTGATGGATGGGGAGGTTGTGGACCATAGGAAGTTGAGCGAGTTTTATCTTGTTTGATGAGTTGTTGGTAGATAATAGTATTGCGGCGTCTGATCATAAGTTATCCTAAAATCAGCAATGGATCTGTTCGATATAGGTAGGGTAGCCGCCAGCTTGGGGTTTCCTCCGGCATACTATGAACATAGCCAC